AGCCCTGCTATTTAGTCTTTCCTGAGTAGATTATTCATTTGCTTGAAAATCTCAGTTTGTGGTGGGGTGTGGTTCCTCAGGTATACTAAGCATGTTGTTCCAACGTTAAGGTACGTTCCCTTACTAGAGTTTCTAGGCAGGTGCTCTACCACTGAGCCACACCCCAACCCCTCGCTCCTTTACCACTAAACTTCATCCCAGGTCTCTTCTTACTCTGTTTTGTTCTGTTTTTGAGACAAAGTCTCACCAAGTCACCCTGCCTATCTTGTGTCTAGTTTGGCTTTGAACTTTGAGTCCTTTTTCCTCAGATTCCCAAGTAGCTGAAATAACTGGCCTGGTGTATCTCTCACAGCTGGACAGTGCATATGTGGCCATGCTTCCCACATTCGGAGTCTCTCCCAATGCTCGTTTCTGTATAGCCCTGCTAGCCTGGCCCTAGAGATCTTGGAGGTCCTGGAGAGGGCTGTTTTCTTTCCCCTTTCTGCCAGCCCTGCTTCCTCGGGTCACACTTCCCTCCCAGAGGAGTGCCCTGCACAGGCACCCGTTCTGGGCACGCTTGACCTGTGGTTTGGACTGGAGCCCAGGCTCTCCGTCTCTTCCTTGGCAGTGTTGATTTTACCATTAAGTCTTGGTCTCCGTGTGATACCAGAGGGCAAGCTGGGAACTCACAGCAGGGACCAATTTGAAGTAGCAATACCTGAACATATGGGCCTCTTTCCCTATACCAAGATCGAAAGATAAATGTTAATAGGTACATTTTTTATTTGAAGTTTACAGATCAAATAATAAATGTAGGATATAAAGTGCTTTTATTTGTTTACATAGTTTTCACCTGTGCCGATGAGATAATGCCTGTGCCTAAGGATCTCTGTGGGGGCAGGTGCACAGGTCAGACTAGGTTACTGCAGTGCCCCTGACTGTGGCCATGGAGCCACTGTGGGAGCCAAGCAGCTGTGTGTGCAGAACCCTGCAGGCTGTGGGAAGGAGGGACAGGAAGGCATGAAGCAGCCAGACACCAGCTACAGCTCCTTTTCCTACCAGTCTGATCTGGTCACCTCCATGCCGTTAGTATCTGGGTAGTCAATTCTTAAAGCTGACCTTCTTTGTCATGTTGCTTCTTTTTGGGAACTAGGCAGCAGTGAAGATGGAGAGAAAGATTAGGCGGCTGTGGACACACTCTCCTGGCCCAAGCAGCGTTCCTGCATGTCCGCCTGAGCGACGACATCGACTCCTTGGTGGCTGACATAAGGCTCAGGAAGCCAGCTCCCTCTGCAGCCCTCACCTGTCCTGCTCGTGCGTTAGACGCGCTCTGTGCTGGGCATCCTGTTGAGGTGGCTGCACTTCCACATGGCTGTGGCGCATGAGTGTTGGGGACCTGTGCGCCCCCGGTCATGGGTCTGTTTTCTGTGTGGGTGTCTTCCCCACCACATCTGAGCTTCTAGTTTGGGCACAGGTGCCACAAAGGGGTACACCAGGGGAATGGTCACAAGTGAGCCATATTTATTGTTTTTTAAGGAAATCACTAATTGCTGTCTGACTGCACTGTGGGTGAGTGTTTGAGCTCCCAATATTGTACAGCATCGTAAATTATACAAGGAAAACATGGCAGGCCAAGATGGTGCTGTCCACTGTTTTTTAGGCTTTTTTGTTTGTTTGTTTTGTTTTTGTTTTCTTTCTCTCTCTTTTTTTTTTTCCTGTCTTCTCGTGTGTTTGCCCTGCATGGTACTGTAAAGCTTCGATATTTTGAGTGTTCTGTCTTCAAACCTGTGGGAAGTGTACACGGGTACTTTTTCCCAGGCCATGCTGACTCTGGGTGTTTGTGTTTTATGTTCCTAGAGGAAATATTTCTGATGAGTTCAGAACTGCTGCTTAGTTTTGTTGATTGCATCAAGCATGTTTCTGTATAAGGTGGATTCTCTCTGAGCAGCCTGTCCTGCCTCTTGTGCTTTTAAATCCTCTTGGTAAAAATCCAATAAGAGATGCACCCAGAACTCAGTGCTCTCAGTGCCCAGGGCCATTTTCTGGTGTGGCAGATGAGGCCCATACTACTTCCTCTCCACAGAGGCCAGCCTGCAAGAGTTCTCATATTTCCTGCAGGCAGGCAGGGACCTCTGAGGCCCCACCAAGAATGGTGGGTGCAAAGAGCAGTTTGTCCAGTGTGGATGCTGCTGAGAGAGCTGTTTGCAAATGGCTGGGGTTGGGGCTTCCCATTCCAGGACACAGCACCCAGGAGACGGCAGCGCTCTGCACCTGCAGGGCCTCCAGCAACCCTGGGGGACCCACACATGCCTCCCCTTCTGTGTCAAGCACTCTGCTCTCCTCTTGTTCTGAAAGGGATCTCAAGTCTCCAGCATAGCCTCAGCATCAAAGGATCTGGTATCCCCAACACAAGGTTGGCCTCACTCTGCTGGCCAGGAGTCTGCTTTGACGTAAGGAAGTGTTGGCGGCCAGTGCCATGGCAATGCCATGTTGAGCGGGAACTGCACCTGTTGGGGTGGCTCTTACATGGGCTGATCACCCCAATACTTCCCGGTGCTGACCCCACTATCCAGACTTCAGTGTGACATTGGGGTGTCTCCAGGCCCTGACTGGAACATGGTGATGTCAATCAGAGGGACTTGGGCCCTCCTACAGAGTGCAAGTGTGGATGTCGGCGTCAGTTTACATAGCAAATTATGATCTTTATTATCAACTCTTGATTCGATCCATGAATTTTTTATACTAAGCAATAACTTTACAATCAACAGAAGACAATTAAGAACAGAGTCTCCTTTTCCCGTACTTGGTGCAGGCCTAGCATGCCGGGGCTCCATAGAAAGCACTGGATCTTGTGACATGTATATTACAAACAGGGCATTTGAAAGTAATTTTGCCAAAATTATCATAACTGAATTTTTTGCTGTGTGAAATTTCTGATTTTTTTTTTTACCTCTGTCTACCAGTCTTAGTTGAGAAGGAGAGAAGCAGTTATATTAAGATTTTTTTCTTTTAAAATTATAGGTTTAAGAAGTTCAGATTCACTGATTACAATTACGGGGATCCATAGACTCTATATATAGCCTTCTTACACAGCCAGCCCGGGGTAGATTTATTGATGGCTGAGGGCTGGCCATCTTTCACCATGTTGAGGGAATTTTAACAATACAATCCCATTTATATTTATATCTATATCACTCTCATGGTTAATTGCCAAAATAAAAGCATTTTATATCTTGAGTTGGGTGGGGGTGGGTGGGTCTTCTGTGGCATCGCATGGAAGGGAAGACTAATGTGTAACACTTGTCAGTGCACCCTCCCAAAGTCCCAGCAATACACAGACATCTCCATAGATTAAGTTCCTGCCCAGTTTTGAAAAGTGAGCATGTGCTTTGCCATCCAATATGGGTTTTGTCTTGTTTTGTTTTTTATTTTTGTTTTTGGCTTTTTCAAGACAGGGTTTTTGCGTGTAGTCCTGGCTGTCCTGGAACATGCTTTGTAGACCAGGCTGGCCTCAGACTCACAGAGATCTGCCTGCCTCTGCCTCCCAAGTTCCTCCACCACACCCAGCTGGTTTTGTTTCAGTGATAATTTGGTTGCTGTTGGTGGGCTTCCAGACTTGCTCATTCAACAAGCAGTGAAATCAGTGGCCCTGTAGCTGACTCGGGGTTGGACCCAGTGGTTCTTTCCTGTCCTCCTCAGTGCCCATCTTCCACCTCTCAGACTGGAAACTGACCTTTGAAGTTCTCTTTAAAAATAAAATAATAATGAGCCCTCCATGTCTTCCTTTGCTATCCTCCATTTGTTATATGAAGACTGATCTTAAGTCAGAAAGAAAAAATGTAGTCCCCTCCCATGAGACTCAGACTCTGCCTGGCCAGAGTCAGTCACTGAAAGGCTACAGTTGCCAGCGGCCTGTTTCCAGCTGTAGAGGCCTGACTGTTTTTAGGAAGATGGCTTTATCTAAGGAGGTCTGTCTCCCTGCTGTGAAATGCCCTTTTAAACCTTTTTTTTTTCTTCATATTTCTCATAGGGTATTTGTAGAATTAGTGACCTATTGCATGTCTGTCCCCAGGGCTGGGGAAGAAAGCAGGCAGCGCCTCAACCCCCCCCCCCCAGCCCATTGCCTGAAATCTCAGGTGTAACCAAGTGTCAGGCTCTGTGTGCTACACCTCAGAGCACCCACCTCGAGAGACTGGGCAGACACGGTTACTTCAAACATACATCTCAATATTCCTTAGGTAGCAAACAGGGTGGCACCGTTTGGCCATAAGGAAACTCCGTTGAACTTCTAAATGGGTTCTTAAGATGCTCTGACAGTATTGCGTCACCCACAGCCATCTCGGCGGCTGAACATGTGCTGTTTGGTTACTGAAGCCTGCACAGGCGAAGCTGGGTCCTGACGACCAGACTTGTGCACGTGCCCACTGTTTGATCATGTCCACAGCTTGAGACCTGGGTGGAGCAGTCACACCCTCCAGGCCTGCCACCTACTGGGTTGTACTTCACACAGTCAGAAGGTTCACGGCAAAATAACAGTTAATGAACTTGGAGTTTAAATTGTGTACATTTTTAAATTGTAAGATTTTTACTGTATATTGAAGCTTAGTGTGATTCAATAAATTGCTTGTAATTTAAAAACTATTTAATATTCAAAATAAATATAGTTATATATTTATAAACTCCGTTGCTATGTTTATTCCTTGTTCTTTGCATGTGGAGGATTAGTGCGGTGCTTTTGGGTCTCTGAGCCCCCCACAGTCTTGAGGGCATGAGGATGGGTCACAGAGCACTGTAGAGCCTGCACGTGTGGCTGTAGTTTCTGTAATCCAAGCATTTCTACTTACTGAGGAGTTCAGGTGAGATTTGGTTTATGAGGCCTTGGCGTGGCCCGGCCCCCAAGTACAACTCCCAAGAAGCTCACAACTGGCCGTTCAGGCTGGAAAATGGCTTATTTGCTAAGACCCATGTTCAATTTTAAACCCATGATGTCTAAAAATGGAAAGGCCAGGTAGGGTGGAGGCTGCATGCATGTCATCCAGTTCTGGGGAGACAGGCAGCAGATCCCTGGGCCTCACTGGTCAGCCTAGCATCCTATCCTGTCCCGAGAGAGCCTCTCAAGCAAACAGTGGTAAAGCACCTCTGTTGACCTCTGACCTTCATACTCCCTGCATGTGCACATGCGCCCACACGGCACATGAACCGACACATTAAACATCACAGCCTTTCGCTGGTCTTGGATATGGTACACACCTTTAACCCCAGCACCTGGGATACTGAGGCAGGAGAATTGCCATGAGCCTAAGACCAGCCTGGGCTATGGAATGAATGAGGTCCAGTCTCAAACAACAGCTGTCCTATGCAATAGTGGGACGTCTCCATGACCTCTGACTTTCTCCTGTTCTCTCCTTGAAGGCCAAGAGACATGAAGGAGGTGACGGCTTCCTACTAGACATTGCCCATGGGCGGGCTGGGTCACAGGTTTGGCACCCAAGTCTGCCAAATATGAGACCTCACCCAGAGTCTTCTGGCTGCATTTTGGCATGTCCTATCAGCCCATGGGGGGGGGAAATCTGTTTAGCTGAGCATAGTGACCAACTACACTTATAATCCTTGTACCAGGAGGCTGAGGCAGGAGGATTGCCATGGGTCTGAGGACAGCCTAGGCTATGGAGTCTGTCTCAAACAGAAAAAGAAAGGGAGCCGGTACCACACTGCCACAGCACTCACTGGATTAAAGAATACATAGATAATTCTCAGCACGTTTTTGTCAATAGTTGAGTCAAAAGCACAGAAGTTGAGCTGAGTGCGTCAGTACCCAGTTTTAATTCTAGCACTCGGGCAGAGGCTGGAGGAGGATCAGGAGCTCCAGGGTAGCCATGACTGCTACAGCCAACGAAATGGCTGTCACTTGTAGCCAAACCTAATGACTTCAGCCCCGGAACTCATGGTAGAAGCAGAGAACAGCCTCCTGCAAGTTGTCATCTGACCTGTGAGCACACACACACACTTAGAAAACAAAACCAAACAACCAAAAAAAAATTGTTAAAGGCCAGGAGGAAAACCTGTTTCCTGTGAGCACCATGATACTCATGGACAGCTTGGGAGAGTTAGCTCTCTCTCCTTCCACCTTGTGGGTCCCAGACTCAGTCATCAGGTTTGATGTCAGGTGTCTGTCCCTACCAACAGAGCCGCCTCCCTGCCACATAACCTTTTATATTGTAATTCCCTTGTAACCTGGGGAAATGGAGGCAGGCAGGCAGGTGCCATCAATTAGAGCAGGTGGGCAGCGGGTGTGTTTGTTGTTTTATAGCCTAATTTTCTGACTCTCAAAGACTGACACCTTGCCACTTGGAGATCTAGTGACCTGGTAGCTTTCCTGACCCACCATATTCCAGCGGGGAGAAGCTGTGTTCCTTAGGACCCGCAGGGTCCGCTGGAAAATTCAAGGTGTTCTGGGGCAGGGAAGGAGAGATGGAGCCCGCTTTGTTCAGGGATGTGGCTGCCGTTCCTGTAAGATTACGCGGGGAGGCTTATCCTAGACTCTGTTCTGAGCCTTAACCCCAGGCCAGGTGCACTGGCCAGGTGCAGTCTGGGGATTTCCCCCGCCCCAGCGGGTCCGCGGAGACCGCGGGCTCTCAGACCCAGAGGGAGAGGGGAAGCTCAGCCGCACGGGTCCCCAGAGCGGGGGGCGTGGCCGCAGGTGCCGCCCTGGCCCCGCCTAGCGAACTCATTTACATGCTTCCCGCGGCCCCGCCCGTGGTGGCTAAAGCTACGTGTCCTTGTCCCCCGTGGGCAGCCTCAGCGCGTGCGGCCTCGGATCGGATCCCCAGGTAAACCAAGGGGTTGGGGGAACTGGATGGGACTCCTGGGAGGGGACCCAGAGGCAGGACCAGATGGACGTCTGGCTCAGGGAGGGAGGAAAACACAGATGGTGGCTCCCACTCAGACTGGCTGGTGCCATCCACGTGGTGGAACTGGGGGCTGCTGCAGGGCCTTGGCAACTGTCAATCTGACCTGGGAGCTGTTCTGGTTCTGAGAGTGTCTGCGCCTGTGTCATGTCCAGGAGAGCTGCGGATAGACACGCTGTCTAATGAGTGCTGCCTGTCTCTGGGACCAATGACAGTGGTGGTGGGGGACCCCATAGCCAAGGTTGGGACCTCTTCCTGGGTGGTTAAAATAAATTGTCAAGGGTCACCTAGGTTGAGGAGGTACATGACAATAACAAGGGGCATGGGACCTGGAAAGGGTTCCCAGATCAGTGAGAAGGGAGAGACTGCAAGTGGGAGAAAAATGTGTCCCTGTGAGATCAAGGAGGACAGGGCTCAGCGTGAATGGGAAGTGCATAGGTGTCACTGTGCACCCGTGGTCTGCTGTACTGGCTGTTGATAGCTTTGCACTGGAAAACAGCAATGAGACAGCTGTGCCGCCCCCCCCCCCCCAGCACACTGAATGACTGCAGAGGGGCTGTGTTCTCAATTTCAGTTCGAAGGGCCTCCTCCAGCCACCACCTCCTGGGAAAACAAGCGATGAAGACCAAGAACCGACCTCCTCGGCGCCGGACATCCGTGCAGGACACAGAAGCCACCCCAGGAGAGCAGACTCCCGACAGACCCCAGTCAGGCTCAGGGGGGTCCGAGCTGACGAAGGGTCTTCGGAGTAGGACGGCCCGTGCAGGTGGACCGCGAGCAGAGGTCAGCCGCCGGCGACAGGGGTCTGGTAGCCGCAGGGAAAATAGTATCCAGAGGCGACTGGAGAGCAATGAGCGGGAAAGACAACGGATGCATAAACTCAACAACGCCTTCCAAGCGCTGCGTGAGGTCATCCCGCACGTGCGGGCTGACAAGAAACTCTCCAAGATTGAGACCCTCACGCTGGCCAAGAACTATATCAAGTCGCTGACCGCCACCATACTCACTATGTCCAGCAGTCGCCTCCCGGGGCTGGAGGGGCCGGGTCCTGCGCCAGGTCCTAAACTCTACCAACACTACCATCACCAGCAACAGCAGCAGCAGCAGCAGCAGCAGCAACAGCAGCAGGTGGCTGGGGCCACGCTAGGTGCCACGGAGGACCAGCCCCAGGGCCACCTGCAACGGTACTCTACACAGATCCACAGCTTCAGAGAGGGCAGCTAGCACCCGCTCTGGGCTCTGGGCTGGGTTGACAGTGCTGACCTGGCCTGCTCAGCTCAGCTCTGGCCCCTCCATGCCACAAGCCTGACTGATGATGACACTATGGGTATTTTGTTGTTGACCAGAGTCTCTCTTGTGACCCATGCTGGCCTGGAACTCCTCATCCTCCTGCCTTCGCCTTCTCTATGGCTGTGATTACAGGCACACATCACCGTATGGTGCGGTGCTAGGAACTGAAAAGGCACTCTGTGCAGGCTAAACCAGCTCTTGGCCTACTGAGCTACATCCCGCAGCCCAAGGCTGAATCTCCGGTGACTCCATTTTCCTTGAACGTCGGCTCAGCCATCAACATGGGGCAGTTTTTCCTAGCCAGCCAGGGGACAGCATTAAGGCATATTAGGCCCAAATCTCTGAGGAAAGCCTGCCTGGTCCCTGCAGATGTTTCCACAGAACAGACAGGATGGGAAGGTGCTAACCTTCCTCACAGTTCTCTTTATGTATGGTGGCCGCGGGGCAATTCCAGAAAGAACATCACTTTCCAATGTCCCTGCTACCGCTGAGCCCAAGATCCCTCCTGTATTGTGAGTCTACATGGAGGCTGGGCCCAAAGCGTCACCCACAATTCATCAGGGAATATAGCAGAGCCAAGATGGTAGCTCTTTCTGCACAAGCCGTCTTGAAAGCAGAAATGTCCTGGGCTCAACTTAACAACTGGGCTTAGAAAGGCCTCATGGGACTTTAAGTGGATAAGTGGGTTCTCTCTCTCTCCCCCCCCCCCAAAATGGAGACTTCTGGAAAGGTTCTAGTGCCCTAGGCTGTGACTGACCACAGCCTGAGTGGGGCCTGGGACCTGAGGCCCTGCGTGGGGACCAGGTAGGGTCTTTATGAAGAGATAGACCTGCCCTGGGCCTTCTGCAGGCTTCCCATACCCACACCCCCCTATTCCAGGGGTGGACCACCATGCTTAGTAGGGCTCATTCTCTGGCTTTTGCCCCTGATGTATGGCTAGCCACGTGTTTTCTCACAGGCTCATGGGACTTAGCTCTTGGTACTCTTGGTGTTTTCTCTGAGGCGGAAGCTGGAGTGACAGGCTTGCCCCTCCCCCAGCCTGATCATTAATAACCAGGACTGGGTGGTTGGCAACCTAGCTGCCTCAAACCCAGCTTCCTTCTGTGGGGCGTTCCTGCCCCACTGGCTCTGCCAGGCTTCACTACTTTGCTGTCAACTGCTGCTGGCTTCTCCTTCCTCTCTTGTCTCTCTGCCCAGAACTGTCCTGGAGTTCCTTGGGGCCCTTGCCCGCCCCCCTTTCTTTCGAGTGACAGGAATCTCACTTTCATGCGCAGCTCAGGTTGGTCGCAAATTATGCAGTCCAGGCTGGTTTTGAACTTGCGCTTGGTCCATCCTCCTGCTTCAGCCTCTCAAGAACTGTGAACATAGGTATAAGGGGACAGCGCTGGCACCCCACGAAACAATTAATAGTGATACTGGGCCTGGGGGTGTTGATTCCTCCATCCTAGTGAGACTTGATTTTGGTCTGGTCCCTTCACAGATCACAGGTCGGGTAGACTGTAGGCCTTTGTGTCTGTGATTCAGGGATGGGAACTGGGAAAGGTCAATAGTTAGGGAGTTTGCCAGTGGGAGCCGAGGCCAGGCACAACTCCAAGTTGGAAAGACAGAGCCCAGATATCCCTTGCTCTGGGGGACCTGCCCATGGAACACAAAAGGCCTCTGCCGACAGGACAGCACTACAAACCCAGTGGCTGGCTTCCAGATGAGCCAAGGCCAGGGCGCAGCTCTTTTTGCTGGCCCTTGCCTGGAAGTACAGCGAGGAAGGGAAGATGTCTGGCCAAACTTCTGCCCTCAGGCCTGCCTACAGCCTAGGGCTGTCCAGGGCCACTGCCTTGCAGGGCTACAGCCTGGTGGCTTTGTGTCCCATGAGCGGGCACTCACACCACCCCTGCTTCCCAGAGGATGCCATGGGCCTAGCTGTCCAGTTCTTTACCGGTGACAGACAGGACCTATCTGTCCCTTGGGAGGCTAGGGGGCAAGTCTGTGATGCCAATAAGGTCTGTTGGTCTGTCTCCCTGTCTCAAGCCCAGGCTTGTCTGTTTTTGTTTGTTTTTAAGACAAGTCTCATGTAGTCTAGGTTGACCTCCAACTTGCTATGCAGTGAAGGAAGATGAACTTTTGATCCTCCTGCCTCTACCTCTTGTGTTGGGACTGACTACAGACATGTACCCCCTGCACCCAGTTTGGGCAGCCCTGGGGACTGAACCCAGGGCTTGTGGCATCTTTGGCCAGCTTTCTACCAAATGATCGACACCCCTGGCCTGGTCTCTTCATTCCTGCTGGGTAATGGAGCTAATTTTACTCAAAACCCTGGACAAGAGGGATGGAGCCGCCCCCAACTGGGTTGCCTGGACTGTGGATCCACCAGAGCTGACCAGCGTCCCATCAACACTGGCAGAGAAACGCGGAGTGTGACCTGTCTGGAAAAAGCCAAGATGAAGAGAACGGCCTGGGCCCTGCCCGTCACTGCGGTGAAATATTCTGTAAGTGACCTGAACTGGCTTTTTCCCCTAATGGTTCCCTTGAAGTACTAATGAAATCGCCAGCCGTATCTTCAATGAAAAGATCCCGCTGCCACAGTGCTTCGGGCCTGGAGACCTGTGCCTTTTAATCCAGATCCTAATAAAAAGACGTCAGTCATGCCGTTGTATAAATTTGTATTAAATAGAACATTTGGGGAGCTGAGACGATTTGGTGTCACTGAGGGGGAACAGCTGGTGCTGAGCAGCAAAGGATGTGTCACCATGGCTAACGGGCAGAGTGGCAGGTCACAGCTGCTGGGGAACACACTGGGAACCCTGACACTGGCATGCAGACGGGAAGGTGACCCCTAGAACACCTCTCTGCACAGGGGTGTGTCTGCTCCCACCTCTGGAAGTGCTGAGGACATGGGGCTCCTCAGGTGTCCTTGGGATGGGGCCCTGGTGTAGTTTCCTCTTAGCTTCTGGGGACACCCCTCATGCAGAATGTAACCCTTCCTGACCATGACATCACACGGATGATTCCAGGGTAAACCGGTTAGGGGTCAGCCTGTCCTGGCTTAAAATGAACAGAGATGGGGCTCTGGCACCTCCTGGGCAGTGTCTGAAACACGAGACACCACCTGCGGGCACACACTCGTGCCGGGGGCCAGCGCTAGGCTATGCCAGGCAGTCTGGAACTCCTGTCTCAGGTCAGCAGAGGCCTTCTGCCCGGCCCTGGGTCACAGAGAGCCCGAGGCTCTGGCCACAAAGCACCCGAGTCTAGGGCGCAAGCTGCCTTCCCCCAGGCCTGGCCGCCCTGCCCCCACATCTGAAAGAGAGGCTAAACTGGGGTTCATGGTGGTGATTCTCTACATGGAAATTACCTTACAGTGCACCCCAGGAGGGATCCCAAACCAGGATAGGACCCACCTGGTTCCTGAGGCAGGGTCTCATGTAGCCCAGGCTCCTGGCCTTCTTGCCTCCGCCCTTTGAGTCCTGGGATCACAGGCATGTGCCACCATGCCTGCTTTACTTATCTAGATGTTTGTTTACTTGTGACAGTCTTGCTATGTAGTCCTGGGCAGTCTCAAACTCACAATCTTCCTGCCTGAGTCTCCTGAGTCCAGACATTTAGGCATCAGCCACCAAGCCCAACTCCTTTGCTTAACTTTTGAAGCAAAAACCCCATTTGGACAATCTGCTAAGGGATGACGGCAGACTGAGGCTTGTAGACCTGAGCCTCACGGCTGTTTCTCCTGGGGGTGACTTGGGAGTGACGAGTAAGGCCCCTCCTCAGATCTGCCTCTCTAGGGCCAGAATTTCTGAAGGGCTCCGTGCTTCTGGCCTAGAAAGCTGGGAGGCCTAACACAGAGGGACCAGGGCTGAGGGCGCAGGCATAAGTCGGCTCCACTCTTCCCCCACAGCATCCTTCACAGACTGCAACACGCGTGGGCGTGCTAGCGGTTTCACATCTCCGGGCGTTCTGTCAGTGCTTCAGAAATAGCCGACGTGGGTCTGACTCCCCGAACGTGTGTGGGCCTGGGTGACGCCCTCTCATACGACACAAGAAAGGCTCGGTTCTGGTCCTTCAGGCTCCAGCCATCCTTGCCTCCGGGTGAGGAGAGGCCTCAGCAGTAAATGGGACCTTGCCCATGGGCCTCCTGTTCCCTGGACACGTTCCTGGGTACCATGGTGGCATTGGCCCGGACAGAGATGTGGTCCCAGCCTCCCTACAAGCAGAAAGTCATGTCACTTAGGACCCAAGTATTCTTTCTCCCCAAGACTCTCCCACCAACCCGCAAGTCAAGTCTGGTGCACCACAGTGCCACAAAACCGTCCCAGATGGCCAGTGTACTCACCCCAATGCCATAGTCCCAGCCCTGCCCCTTGGGTTCCCGAGGCTGGACACCCATGCGACGGCACACTGTTCCCCGGCTCAGGCCATGGCTCCCCTGGACTTTGTTGGCAATCACCCAGACCTGGAACAGAACTTGGTTGGAGCTGCTGGCCCAGCTGTGGAGGGACAGCTGGGTACAGGAGATAGATCAGGGAGGAGCACCCTCGTCCCCACTGCCAGTCACCCGCTGTCCCCTCACCTGGTCCAGCGGTCCCACAGACACTTTGCGCACATTGTTAGACACGTGTTCCCAACTGGAGCCTTGCGGATAGCTGGGGGTGATCCCTGCTCGGTACCACAGGTTCCCTGGACAGAGAAGCAACCAAGGACATCAGCAAAGTCTTTTTGGCCCACCTTGGCATGCTGTGGGGTCAACCCCAACTCCCCCTCGAATCCCTCACACCCAAGGGCTCTTGATGACCCACAGCCAGGAGCCTGGGCCATAGCCAACCCTGTCTCTCTGTGTGCTAGGCTTCATAATCGTCTCATTGTGCCTCCTGGAGCTGACAGCCTCAGACACTCTGAGGGAGAAGCCAAGGACAAAGAATGTTTTAAGCAAATAAAAAGAAAACCGGATCTGGATCTAACCCCTGGGCTCCAAGACTGTTTTTGTTTTCTTTTCTTTTTCAGAGCCTCATGTAGACCAGGCTGGCTTTGAACTCCTGATCCTATTGCCTCCACCTCCCAATCCTGAGATCACTGGTGCACAAACCACACCCTGGGCGCATGGTACTTTGTGTGTGCAAGTCAGGTGCCCTACCAACTGCGCTGGGCGTTTTCTCCAGGGTTTTAGAGATGGGATCGCACTATGTAGCTCAGGACACCCTCAAAATGATCATTTTGACGCAGCCTTTATGGGTCAGAGCTTCTAAGACTCTCTACCACGCCTGTCTTCATGCTTTCGAGACAGGGTCTCATGTGTTCCAGGCTGGCCCTGAACTTACTGAGGATGGCCTGAACTCTGCTCCACATGCCTCCCAGTACTAGGATTACAGGCCTGTGCTACCATGGCTTCAAAGTCTTGATTCCGCCTTTCCTACATCTCATCAAGACAATCAGTAAGATCTTGAGAAGAATGAGCCAGGGCCCTGTCAGAGGGGACACAGGGATCAGAAATGGCCCTGTGATGCCTAGGGGGCTCCTTGTTCCACCTAGGCACCTAGATGATGCTTCAGATGCATCTGGGGCTGGTCACACAAACTAAGTTGGGGGAGAGACCAAGACTGGCTCTGAGCTGACATTTCTGGCCTCATGCAGGGTCCAAGGGGCTTTGCTGATTGCCTTGGTCCAGACCCTGCCCGCATGGCTCCTGGGGGTGAAGCCCTGTTTCCATGGTAACCACAGTGCAGGAGGGTGACATTAACAGCTAAAATTCCTTGTCCCTAGGGAAACAACACATGACGGTCTGGACACTTCCAAAGGGTCTTTGAGAAGAGATGTCATTCCAGCCTACTGGTGGCCTAGTCGTGATCATAGCGGGGCCCTCCTGGGACCCCATCCTCCCCACTGACCATGCGGCCTCTCAAATGACTTGCCGTTTTCATCCAAGGCATACACTGACGTCTGGCCCACGGACACCTGTGTCAGCCTCTGTTTGGGAGGAGAGGGGATGTGGTACCAGCAGTCACCTGTGAGGGGAAAGCTGACTCAGGAGGTTATTGGGAGACCCCCCAACACACTTGTGAGCCCAGGCCGAGGCCTGTCTAGTGCCCCGAAGCTCACAGCAGGCTGAGACCTTGCTGCCAGCCTTCAACTCCAGCTGAACAAATGTGAGCTGGGGGTCACGGAAGGCCACCTCAGGCTCTGCCACTCACCCGGTATCCTAGGTTTGCCCAGGGTCCTCTGGGGTCCAACCTGGGTTCTGATAAATAAGAGACCTACCCACCATCCTTTTTTTTTTTTTTTTTCCGAGACAGGGTTTTTCTGTAGCTTTGGAGCCTGTCCTGGAACTCTAGCTCTTGTAGACCATGCTGGCCTCAAACTCAAAGAGATCTGCCTGCCTCTGCCTCCTGAGTTAAAGGTGTGAGCCACCACAGCCTGGCTTTTTTTAAAAATTTTTTAAAGTTTTCCTTTTTTTTTTTTTTTAAATTATATATACAGTGTTCTGTCTGCATGTATGCCTGCAGGCCAGAAGAGGGCACCAGATCTCATTACAGATGGTTGTGAGCCACCATGTGGTTGCTGGGAATTGAACTCAGGACCTCTCTTAACCTCTGAGCCATCTCTCCAGCCCCCCGCCCACCATCTTAATGGGAAACTTCCTTCCCATACTCCATCGGAATGGGGCTAGAGGTGGGAGGTGGGCGCCACTCACCAGCTGGCTGAGAGGGAGACACAGAACCCCGGTAGAATGCAGAGCCATCTCTGGCCACGGCCCACACCTGATAGCAGGCCCCGATGGAGACAGAGGCGAAGGGCTGGTCAGTGCCAACGTGTAGCCAGGAAGAACCCTGGAGAGGGAAGGGCGAGGGAGATGGCTCAGGGGCCAGTGGGACCACCTTGGCCTCCTCCTCCGAGGCACCTAAGCCTGCCTGGGGGGGATGTCCAGGGTGGTCTGACCTCGCCTAGCTACAGTCTGCCTTGGTCTACTGAGCCCCTGGAGCCAGGCCTCTCAAAGGAAAGATGACAGCATGTGCATGTCACCAAGGGTGCTGAGAAGCCACCGTGTCACCTGGACCCTGCTGCCTGCCCCCTTTCCTCCCAGGCCTGGAGAGATGGCGACTCTCCATACCAGCCGTATCCTTGGCACTACCTGCCTCATTTGGATTACATATGACACCTTCCCACTATGGAGACCCGTTCTGGGCAAGTCTGGGGAAACCTCAGGCCAGGTGCCTCTCAAGAGGGAATCCTGATGTCCAGAAGGCTGGTGCTCACCGCGGGGTTGAGTTCAGATACGCCCAGGCGGCACAGGACATCCCCCTTGTCACTGACAGCCCACAGTGCAATGTTGTGTCCTCGCCCATCCGCATCCGCACTCTCTGGGATGATGGACACATCGCCCAGGGCAATAGGAGCCACCTCCAGCCACGGCCCACTGGTCACCAGCTTGCATTTTCTGTTCAGGGAAATATGAGCCTGAGTCAAGGGATCACTGTGACAGCAGGTTCTGGGGCCACGTCACTGCCCATCACTGCCTGTGTGACAGCAGACCCGGGCCACGTCACTGCCCATCACTGCCTGT